ATATCGACCTGTACTTTTTCCATTCCTCCCTCCCTCCCTCCCTCCCTCCCTCCCTCCCTCCCTCCCTCCCTCCTTCCTTCCTTCCTTCCTTCCTTCCTCTCTTCGTCTCTCTTTTCCTTTCCTTCCCTCCCTTTCTCCTTCCTCTTTTTTCTCTCCTTTTTGTTTTTCTTTCCTCTTAAGAATCATTATTGTCATCATCATTATTATGGTGTAAAGGAGGAAAGCATTTATTTTATCCTGTACTTCATGTAACAGTCCATAACTAAAGGAATCCAGGCAGGCACTCAAAGCAGGGCAGGAACCTGGAGGCGGCAACTTATTCAGAGGCCATGATGAAGCGCTGCTTACTAGCCTCCTCCAGAGAGCTTGCTCGGCCTGCTTTCTTATAGCACTATGAGCACCACTGTCTCAGGGGTGGCACCAGCTACAATCACTAATTTAAAAAATGTACCACAGGATTGCCCACAGGACAATCTGATGGGGGCATTTGCCCAGTTAGTTTCCAAAATGACTGTGATTGAGCGAAATTGACTTAGAATTAGCCACACATATGGAGATTTACAACAAGGCTTAGAGTCTTTCTTCGAGGGCGTTGTTTGCCTTGTCTATTTCAGTATCCTGGCTATCTCAGGAGTCTCGGGTGCAGTTTCAGAACAAAGTGCTGGTTTCCATTTTTTTTTCTTTTTGTTTGCCTCGGATCCTTCTCATTTCAGGGCTGCAGTCCTAAGCATCCTCTGCTTTCCACAGGGAATGGGCAAGGTACTCAGGGGCCTACTAAAATGCTGGGAATACTACTTGGCCTCCAGAGGAGGTAATGGGAACATGATTATCCCCTGTGCTTACAGCTGTTATAACACATAGCAGGAATGTTCTCCAGTAAATCAAACCTGGAAAAGTGAGCAGGGAGGACAGAGGATACTGAAAATGTGCCCAGTGGGTTCCATTCTGTTCCCTGGAGGTTTGGCCTGAGCTCCTGAGACTTTGCAGATACTCAGAGTACAATTCTGTGGTATGGCTCTAGTATTAATTCTGTTTTAAACTTATTTTTAGTTTTTAATTCTTTTTGATATTATAATATAATTACATCATTTCTCCCTTCCCTTTCTTCCCTCCGAACCCCTTCATGTTGCTTCCTTTGCTTTACTCTCTTTGAGATTTATGGTTTCTTTTTAAAATTGTGTGTGTGTGCATGTGTGTACATGTGTACACGTGTGTATCCATGTATTCATAAATACATCAATAAAAGCTGCTCAGTCTCTATAAGGTTACTTGATACTTATATGTGTACGATCTCTTGGCTGACATTTTAGTATTAGAGAACTGATTATGCTCCTCCACAGGAAAGACTATTTCTTCCACTCTCAGCATTCTTTTTAAAAAAATTTTATTTTCATTTTTATGTGTGCATTGGTGTTTTGCATGCATGTATATCTGTGTGAAGGTGTCAGATCTTAGTTATAGACAGTTGTGAACTTCCTTGTGCTAGGATTTGAACCCTGGTCCTCTAGAAAAGCAGTCAGTGCTGTTAATCGTTGAGCCATGTCTTGAGCCCCATCCTCAGTATTCTTTAGTTGTTCCTAGTTCTTTGTCTAGCATTGAGGCCTCATGAACCTTTCCCTTTACGTGTTAGCCTGCCTATTGGTATCATTGTTGTTCAGGTCATTTCTCAGCAGACTTCTAGAGCTTCCTACAGCTCTAGAAGACACAATATCACAGCATACTTCCAGTCCTCTGGCTCTTAAAATCTTGCTGCCTCCTCTTCTGCAGTGATCCCTGAGCCTTAGATTCAGGAAGTGTATTGCAGATGTGTACTTTAGGAGTGGGCTCCACGGCTCCACATTTCATGTTTGTGGTTTCCTCTGCTAGTCTTTGTAGATTGCAAAGAGAAGTTTCCTTGATGAGGGGAAGATTACACATATCTTTGCAAATAAAGCAAATATTTCCAATGCAGCTAAGGTTTCTGCTGGTTTGTTTAAGTGGCTGTTGGAGGTTCTTCTCTAAGAGTCTTTCTTGGCTTTTCTCACCCGAGGCTGTTGACGTAAGTTTTCACTTCCAGGCCTGAATTCTTTCTTTTTGCTGTGGTTCTTAAGTCTTGACTAGAGAGCTGTTGATTACCATCAAGATATGTGTGCCACTTCTAGTCCCTATGGGCTGTTGGGCCATGCTGATCATCGTTGTAGTTTGTAAGTGTTATAGCTGTTTAGGACTGTTGGGTTGCTTTTCTCCCTTTGGAATTTTGCATGCTGTCTTTTGCTACTGTGAAGGGTACTTCCCAGGGCAGAGGCCCTCTGAGTACTACATTTCAATTGATAATATTTACATGAAAGCCTGGCACAAAGGATCATCTGTAACTCTTGTGTGGAAGGGAGGTAAAAGTCATTGGTCAGTCAGTCTAGCCAATTGATGGGCTTCAGGTTTAGAGAGAGAGCTCATGAAAAATTGTTGTGGAGAGCAATAAAGCAAGAAGCCCAAATACCATGTTCATAGCTACAAATACATTGTAATGTCAGATTCTCCTACCTTAATGTATTGATTCAATAAATGTAGAAAATCCTAATAGAATTTTTTATTAGATATGTTAATGTGGAGCTAAAATTTATATGCAAAAACAAATGTATATAATAAAGATATTATTAATTCCATGGAAGGATTTCTTTATTAATGTATGACATAATGTTTAGGAAGATAGCTGTTGATTTATGAATAGCTTGGGTAAAAGAAAATGTAGAATACCAGATAGGATGCATTCATTACACAGGTTCTATCACAGACAATTGGGAAATAAAATAAAGTAGATGAGTAATGTTGAGAAATGTGATATCCATAGGAAAAAAAATAAGTTGCCTCTATTTTATATGCAATTTAAGTTTAAAATGGATGTAGATATAATTGCATAAAAACAACAATTTTTAAGTTTTCAGAGGAAGACTCAGAAAACTGATTTTTCTATAGTTGGAAAATGTTTCTTATTAATGAGACACTGAAAATATTAATTTTAATACAAACAATATACCAATTAAATCTAAACCTTGACTGCATCAGAGTGTCAAAAAGACAGAATCCAAATACAGCAAATATAATTACAACGTATTTTTAACTTCTTCATAGTTAATATGGAAATATAAAATCTTGGTTCTATTGCCATCTGCCCATAGCTGTCTCATCAGGATTCTCTTTCTCCATGGCCTGGCAAGGCTGCACCATCAGGGGCGAGTGATCAGAGAGCAGTCAACTGAGTTCATGATAGAGGCAGCCCTGATCCCTCAAGGCAGTAGTGGAGAACTCCCCCTTTCAGGGGACTAGCGGAAGAGGATGGAGGACGAGGGAAGGAGAGTGGGGGGGGGGAGGATGAGTTGAGGGAGGGGCCTTCAGTAGAGATATATAATGAATAAACTGTGAAGGAAAAATTAAAAGTATAAAAAAATTCTTGATTCTAGAACAGAGGAATTAATATTTGTTTTGCTTAACTCAAGGACCTGACTTTCAGAAATGCAACCTTGCTGACTTAGTTTCCACATCTTTGCCCTAGGTGTACCCCCCCCCCCCCCATCACAGTGCAGCTCACAAAGATTGATGAGGTTGGCTTCTCTTTTTCTGGTGTCATCTGGATAATAGTAAAAACTTACAATCTTTGTACTATGTACCTGTCACAATAATCATTTTTTATTTTATTTTTTTGTATTAATTACAGTTTGTTCTCTTTGTATCCCAGCTGTGCCCCTCTCTCATTCCTTTCCAAACCCACCCTTCTTTCCTCATCTGCTGTCTCCAAGTCCACTGATAGAGGAGGTCCTCCTCCCCTTCCCTCTGACCTTAGCTTATCAGGTCTTATTAGGACTGGCTGCAATGTCCTCCTCTGTGGCCTGGTAAGGCTGCTCCCCCATCAGGGGGAGGTGATCAAAGAGTTCCCCTGTCACAGCAATCATTAACCTTATTAACTAAATAAAAGATTCGCTGCATAGTGTCTATCCCAAGACATAAATTAAGAAAAGTAAATATTTAAAATTAAGTACTTATTTCTGTGTGTGGTATATGTCCTAATTAAGCTAGTGTTTTTTTAGACAATGAAATAGTTTTTATTGAACTTGATGGTAGTTTTGCCATATTGAGATTAACATTAACATTTCTAGGGATGAGTCTGGGCAGAGGCAGGCAGATCTTTGTGAGGCCAGTTCTTTTAGAGCAGCCTGGTCTACAAAGTGAGTTCCAGGAGAGCCAATGCTACAAGAGAAACATTGTCTAGAAGGGAAATAAAAATGGCTGCCTGGTCTACAAGGTGAGTTCCCAGCCAGCCTGGGTTGTATAGTGAGACCTTGCCTTAGGAAAAAAAAGACAAGGAGAAAAAAAGTTAAATTCTAAAATCTATTAGTGCCCTTAGGCTGCTTTTACAAATCACCATAGCACAACTAGCAATTTTAGCTTTATATATGATTTATTTCTTGTCTTCCTGACTTAATGGAAAAAGAAAACAACTAAAGTATTGAAAAAGAGGGAAGTTAGTATGTCATGAATCAGTTTATGTTTCTGAAATTCTCTATGATCACGTATAACAAAGCTAGACTTCACATTTCTTAGTCATCCATTTTAGGAAGTGACACGTAATGATTTGGAAAATATCTTATCTCTGTGTTTTGAAGTTTACCCAGGTTTAGGTGCCTTTGTCCCAGAGGACCGCATGCAGGCAGCTATTTTTACATAGACTTGGACTGTATGTTTCCTATTTTATATAGTTCCAGACATTTACCCATTTGGGGATTTTGTCTTACACATTTTCTGAATAATTGTATAAATTGTTACCACTTTGTGATCTGTATCCTAACCTTACGAAATGTTTGTGAAAAATTAATGTTGGTGAGCACGTAATGACTCTTCTATCTTTTTCTCTATCCTCAAGTGTTTAATTTATTATATTTTAAATTATTTTTCAACTTAAGTAGGTTTTTCTTTCTTGGTTTTTGAATAACCATAAAGATTAATTTTTGCTGTTATTTGTATTATAGGGTCAAAGAGAATAAGTGACAGTGAGGTCTCTGACTATGATTGTGATGATGGAATTGGTGTGGTGACAGGTAAGAATTATAGAATTATTTTATAGTATTAAAAGGTAGTCTAATTCACCATTATTTATCATCAAAATAAATAAAAAGAACATAAATTTGCCTACTCATCTCCTAAAAAATAACCTCAAGAAAACTTTGACAACTTAGAGTCCTAAACAGTTGCTGGAAATTCTGTGCACATTCTTAGAGTGAATATTTTTTAAAGAAGCCATCCCCGGGTAAGAAAATACTCATAAATTTTCTGTTTTAGAATAACTAAATAATAATGCTTTTATGATAAATTAGAGATTTGAAACATCATATGTAATGTATCCTTAGTATTATATAATAATAATTTATTCTATTCTTAAATAACCTCACAAGTCTTAAATTATATAGTTAACAAGATCTTTGTAGCTACATCTTGTGATTACTGAATTTTTGATAATCTTTCTTAGAGTAATATCAACATGCCATAGTCAATAAACTACTTTTTAAGACTCAGTTGCTTTGTTTTGCCTTCTTATTAAGAATGAACAATAAAGTAATTACTAAGTGTACAATTTTTTTTACATTTTTCTTGTAAAGGTTTAGATTATTTTTATTTTCTGCTCTTAGATTATCACAATGGTCGTGATCTTCAGAGCTCCACATTATCAGTGCCAGAACAAGTAATGTCATCAAACCATTGCTCAGCAGCAGGGTCTCCTCTTCGGGTGGACGCTATAGGAAGGACCAGGTCATGGTCGCCCAGTGCCCCTCCTCCGCAGAGGTAAGGCTGTGTGGACATTCTGCTCATAGTATGGTACTTAGGGTGAATTTAGCATGAATTACCACGATAACCTCTAAATATAAATTATTCTTTAAATATTCTTTTTTAAAAACATAAGATGTCATTGCAATGGGAATAAGATATCATATATTTTGTTACTTTGCATGATCTCTGTGGTATTTGATCTAACAGTTTAAAATAGTTAAGAAAATCTGTATTTAAGTTGCATGCGGCTCTTTGACCTCCCCACCCCCCAAGGGAGGAGCAGTCCTGTTAGGCCACAGAGGAGGGCTTCACAGCCAGTCCTGAAGATACCTGATAAAACAGGATCAGATGAATGGGGAGGAGGTCCCCCCCATCAGTGGACTTGGAAAGGGGCACGGTGGAGATGAGGGAGGGAGGGAGGGTGGATTGGGAGGGAATGAGGGAGCGGAACACGGCTGGGATACAGAGTTAATAAAATGTAACTGATAAGAAAAAAATAAAATTAAATTAAAAAAAACAAAAAATATATCAGGTAAATCCATTTAGAATCAAATAATTATATTCATGAATCATATAATTATTGGTAAGTTACAAAAGAAAACATTCTTCAAAAAACTAAAAATAATTCATGGGTAGTGGGAAAAATGAACACACAAATCTGTTGCTGTAGGTCTTATAATATTAGAAAACTCTGACCAATCTGAATACCAAAGAGCTACATACATGCAGTATAATCCATGGTCATAATGTGTATGTTATACATGATAGATAGTTCTGGAGACATATTAACTGGAAAAGTTGTGTAGTATGCATTGATAGAACTTAACTTAATAGATACTGACTAAATAGTACATTCTGGATATGTAAGTATATCAGATTGGTCTGTGTATTTGAATAGTCCTCTGTATACAAACATGACATTGTAAACTAATAAAAAGGGATGGTTTGTAAAGGACTGAAACCTAGTTCATCACTTTGAATGAAAGTTTTCTTTATAAGTTTTCAAAGGACTACCATATGGGATCCAGGTGAGGCAATAATTAGACAGCTATAATCATAGTAAGTTATGAAGGTAGTGGTTTAGCTAGAGTGCTACCAGAGAAGGGGGGAGAATTAAATAGGTATTGATTAGTGGCTTTTCTGAGATTTGAACTCAGGTCCAGCCATGCATAAGGTATCATTCTCACCATTCTTGAGGTCCATAGAAAATAGCATGTGTAGCATTGAACCTAACTCTTCATAAATCTTTCCTCTAGTATATATTATATCACTGATTATCAGTGATAGAGAGCTGGGTGTAGCCTATCATTAAGGTATGATATTGCTTATCTTATCCTTAAGGATAGTCTCTTAAATTTTTTATTTTTATATAAGAGCAGCAGGCTCTCTGTTAGCTGTTAATTTCCAAATGAAATGTATACCACCAGAAATACAAATAAAAACATAGGTTTTATTATTTTTTTTATGTAGAATGTGCTATAGGTTAGTAAGATATTTCATGATTTGCTGTTTTAGTAGGACTGTGGAACAGGGGCTTCGAGGGACACGTGCTACTGGCCATTACAATACAATTAGCCGAATGGATAGACACCGTGTCATGGATGACCATTATTCTCCAGACAGAGACAGGTAAATTCCTGCTGGTCTCTGTTGCCTCAGGAAGGGTTATTGTAAAATGTTTTCTCTGGCCCTTTGTCTCATCTTGGATTCCAGACCATGCTTTTTCTTTACTGTCCCCACATTCTTTCTTAAGATTGCTCTTTGTTTAAAAGAAGAGGTTAAACACATGCAGAGTTTTTTTTGTTTGTTTGTTTTTGTTTTTGTTTTTAATAAGAAAAACAAACACCAGAGCCTCATGGCTCATGTTTGGAATTTCAGTACTTGGGATGGTGACTAGGGAAATCAAAACTTAAGACCAGCCTGAGCTGCCTGATTAGTCCCTGTCAAGAAAAGAAATACTTTGGCCTTTCATTAAATCAAAATACCTAGCACATTTGCACAAGAGATTATAATGATAATCAGAATACAAACAAGATGTTTCATTAGTTTACCTGCGCAAACAAATTATTATGTGTAATAATAATCTGATAGAGATTAAAGTGTTGAATAGATTTTAGAGAAATGGTGTGACTTTTCACATACAGAAATAGAGAGTCTGGTATATTTAGGAAACCTTTTATCATAATTCTTGAAGAGGTTTTCTCTCATGGCCTTCAGTAAAGCTTTAACATCTTGAAGAATCATATTGTTGATTGCTGTGTTTGTAAGAATTCTCTGAATTTGCCCCATTAAATGTGACAAGCTTGGGAGTAACATATTATGTTACAATGCTTACATTAATTACTACTAATTTTAAGAAAATTAACTTTATAATCCATACTTTGGTTATATATGAGAAAGTACCATTGGATTTTTTCAAACTCTCAAATGAGTTTAAGAAGAGAATAGTGATGATTATAGTATTCAGAAAAATACGCTGAAATAGTGAGGGAACTTACATTTCTTTGTCCTTAAAGTACACCAACTGTCAGAATGTATAAAATCATTTAGTTTGAATCAAGATTAAGACTCAATGCATGCGCATAATTCCTTTGTGTCTGTAAGAGACACAATAGAGGGTATCTTCCACATTGGTGGAGCCAAACAAATACTGCTTTTGGTGTCTAGGATTAAAGAAGAAACCAAATAGTTATTACTATCAAGTAAAATTTTAAAAAATAGTTTTTGCTTTTTAACTTTTTAAACATTTTCATGTAGTCAATGCGTTGTGGGTGATGTGAATGTGCTGTCTCCCAGAAGACATGCTCATCGAGTGCTATAATATAATAGTGAGGGTAGGAGTGCCATGGAGAGCATCAGTGGGTATTTTGTTTGCCTAATGGGATGTTAATGAACTTTATTAGCTTTTCAAATTATTTCTATAGGTGTCACAACCTTCTTACAATTGAAACTTTGCTTATTGAGGGAATAAAATTGTGTAGATGACTTTAAATTTCTAATAAGCTTACATAAAGTAAACATTTAATGAAAAAAGTGGACTTAACATTAAGTCCAAAAAATATAGCCTAATCTTTGTAGAAAGTGATAGAATAAAATTACAAAACAACTGTTTACTGTTATATTAAATATAGTATTTGTCAGTATTTTAAGGCACATTTTATTAGGCTTAGTGGCCATAAACATAAGACATTCACCTTTAATATTTTTGGTTAAAACCCAGGGATTATTAAAATAATTAACCCCTGTTTTATATAATCAGATCAGAAACATTTATACTTGAAGAGTCATTATGCTTTTCTTCTTCATGATATTATGAATCTTTTAGAATAGTAAGAATATTCAAATGTTTGTCTTAGAAAGTTTTGAAGAACATAGATCCCTATGATTTCATCTCACTTTTGTAAGGAAGGATGTGGATGTTCGGGCTACAGTCATTCTTTGTTGGGATCTGTCTTAAATCATTTTAAAACATTATGTAAAGTAGAATTTCATTTCAATAGAAACAAAACAATAGACAGCACTTCTAGAATTATTTTGGTTATGCGTGCAATTCATTAATATAAGAAGCAAAATTCATTGTACAATATGCTCCTTAATATCTGTTCTAGTCTAACATTCTTAAGAATTTTCAGTAACCAAATGCATTAGGCTGTCCTTTTTAAAATAGGAAAGTGATCTTGTTTTATTTTTATGATTGTTGTAGAGTTGTGAATCTGCTCAATTTGGGTTTGAGGTACGTTTAGATGACTTATTAAGTACAATTTTGTGCATTTCTGAGGAATTTCCTGAAAATATTAAGTAAAAGTAGACCTGCCTTGAATGTAGTTTGTGGCTTCCTATGTAGTTCATGGCTGTGGACCCAGCTAAGGAAAGAGAAAAGAGTGAATCCAGCGAGGGTAGCCCTTATTTCACTCTGTTTTCTGGCTAGCATGAGATGAGTTGCTCTTGTCCACCTCACCATCTCCTTCATGGTGGACTATAACATTTCAGGAAATAGTTAAAAATAAATTTTTCCTCTCTGAAATAGGATATGTCAAATATTTTGTCATAGCATTCAAATTTTGACTAACACAACAATCAATAACTACTACCAAAGAAATAATTTTCTTTGTTATTAAGTAGTGTAATTTAGGAATTTTTAAAAGATGTACACATCATTCTTGTTAGTAAAATCTAATTCGTTGAGTTAGAAATTTGACTAATTAAATGTATTCTTTTTTCATAGGATTTGGAACCAAGTGTTCTTGAATTCATATTTAGGATTTTAAGTATCTTTGGGGGAAACCAAGCATTTGATTTCTATGTTTATAAAATGTCTTCTATAGAATTATACAGATGAACTGGGACAGTGCCTGCAGTGACAGTTACATATTTCTTATCATCCAGGCAGTTACCACAGAGTATAGCATATACCCATATTTTACCAAAAGTTTGTATTGATAGTTGTGCGTAATCCTAGTACTTAGTAGGTCGTGCCAGGAGGGTTGACCGTTAGAAACCAGACTTGCCTACATAGCTAGTCCAACGAGAGGCTGAACTATATAACACAGTCTCAAAAACAAACAAACAAACAAACAAACAACAAAAAATGAAAGAAAAATTTGTAGTATGTAAAAATGCAAATAGATCCATACTTATCACCCTGCACAAAACTAAAGTCCAAGTGGATCCAAGACCTCAATATAAAGCCAGACACACTATATTGGTAGAAGAAAAAGTGGGGAAGAGCCTGGAATTCATTGGCACAGGAGACAACTTCCTGAACAGAACACCAACAGCACAAGCTCTAAGATCAATAATCACTAAATGGGACCTCATGAAACTGAAAGGCTTCTGTAAAGCAAAGGACACTGTCACAGAACAAAACAACAGTCTACAGATTGGGAAAGGATCTTCACCAACCCTATATCTGACAGAGGACTAATATCCAGAGTATATAAAGAACTCAAGAAGTTAAACAGCAAAAAAATCAAGTAATCCAATTAAAAAATGGGGTACAGAGCTAAACAGAGAATTCTCTGCAGAGGAATATCGAATTGCAGAGAAACACTTAAAGAAATGTTCAATGTCCTTAGTCATAAGGGAAATGCAAATCAAAACAACCCTGAGATTTCACCTTATACCCATCAGAATGGCTAAGATCAAGAACTCAAATGACAATGCATGCACAAAGGAGAGGTTGTGGAGAAAGGGGAACCCTCCTCCACTGCTGGTGGGAATGTAAACTTGTACAACCACATTGGAAATTAATCTGGCGCTTCCTCAGACAACTAGGAATAGTGCTTCCTCAAGATCCAGCTATACCACTCCTAGGCATATATCCAAAAGAGGCTCAAGTACCCAATAAGGACATTAGCTCAACCATGTTTGTAGCAGCTTTATTTGTAATAGCCAGAAGCTGGAACCAGCCCAGATGTTCCACAATAGAGGAATGGATACAAAAATGTGGTACATCTACACAATGGAATATTACTCAGCAATAAAAACAAAGAAATCATGAAAATATGATATACACATTACATTAAGAAAACTTTGACTTGTAAACATTTTATATTTAATAGATTAACAGTTATTCCGAAATAACCAAATGGCAACAAACAAAAATAAAAACCTTGAGAAATTAGTTAAGTCAGCCACTGTGGAAAATGTATTGAAGACAGGACTTGTGTTGGACTTTGAGAAATGGGAAGGTTTATTCAGGCAATAAGAGCAAAGAATATATCTATCTATTATGGAGTTTGGTATGAAGTAGCATTTGGTGGCATGTAGGAAAATTGTATGTGAAGGCAGACTTTTAAATTGACCATATTCCATATGATATGTTGCTGTTTGTATTACATTACCATTCTTTGTTAAACTTAAGTAGTGGATACATGAGATATAAAATCATATTCTTTTTATGAGTAATGCTTAAGAATTATGTACACCTATTTTATTGGGTTGTTGATTCTATACTTGTCTCATTCTATCATTATTAGTAACATTTTTATTCTGTTGTGAAAAGTCTTAACAATGCAAACACTTGCATACAGATTATTAGTTAACACATTGTAAATGGATTAGTTTTATTTTCAGCCCCTTCCCTTGCATTTTTGACTCATTGTTTGTTTGTTTTTTTGTTTTTTGTTTTTTTGTTTTTTTTTTTTTTAGTAAACCTGGTAACTGTTGTTTCTTTAGTAACCCTTCTGACAACTACTGCTAGGAACATAATTTGCAAGAGGATATATATATGTGGCTTTAGAACAAGAAATTTTTTTTAAGATTTTAGTCATAGGAATTAATTTACTTTTAATATTTGTGAAAAGTATTCCATACTATTGTAATAATACCACAACATATGTAGTATATCTTTCTGTTGGTTGCTTCCATTCTAATAAGTATGATTTTAGCATCACACATAAAATTTTTAAATGGGTCAGTGGTGGTGGTAGGATAGCTCCACACTGCTGCCCTCAGTAGCAAGAGGATGCCTCTTGTCTTTTCAGGACTTCAGCTTTGTTCAAACTGCCATGTTTGAACTGGCATTGACATAGAGAAGAATTTAAGGACTAATCAGATTTTAGGTTAAATAAATGATATATAGTATTTAAGTACAAAGGTAAAGATATAGAATGGTCCTCAAAACACCCTAGATGCTGGTTGTGGGCTTCTCTGAGAGATTGAGAATCACCTTTCATTGTTTTATAACAGGCATTTATACTATTTTAGGGAGTTTTGAAGTTAACTCTCTTCAAAGGTTTGCTAAGGGTTCTAAATGAGATCTCAGGGTGCTTTCAAAAGGATTCCTCTTGGGATTACAAATGATACGATCACAAGAGTTCAGAAAGGTAGCATAGCATAGCATTACAATAAACAAAAGTATCAGTCTTGTTAGAACATCTCAAAATGTCCAGTGAAAAGATTGAGCCCCTGTGGTGGCCAGGCACACTAAGGCCTTATGGATGGTTCATTGTTATAAGACATCTGTCTGTGCAAAGAATGTTATTTCACATTAAGAACTTTCACAGTAAACAGTGATTATATTTGAATTCTTGATTCTCAGTTAGCAGAGCCTTTAATCGATTCCCAGATGAGGGATGATTTACTTCCTTTTTTATGTCCCAGTATTTTTTCTGTATTCTGTTTAAGCATCAGAAGATAAATTTTAAATTTTTCCTAAATACATTCATACAAAAGACTTATATACTAAAAAAGGAAAATGCCTTAATATATAAACCTTTGGTATACCTCAGATACTTTATATATTCCATTTTCTTGTCGTATTAAAGTATTTAATCATTGTATACAGAAATTTTTAAATGGCACTATGTTGGTTTCATTGACCAACATATATGTTTATTAGTTATAGAGAGTAAAATGTTGTGAGGCTGAGGTTAATATTGTTAGAACAAAAAGATGAGTCAGAAAGAAAACAACTTGCCTGAGGTTATTGGAAAAGGCTTCAAAGAGAATCTAGATGATAGAACTTTTAAAGGCAAAGAAATGGAGAGAGCCTTGGAATGGTGGGATCCCCACCAGGAGGAAAAATAGGAACATGTGGATCAGGAAACCACATAATATTCATAGAGAATGTTAGGCAATCTGTTTTACCTAGATGTTAGGTAGTAGCATTGTATACAAGAAATGAGATGAAGGCTGGAGACAGTTTTGAGAGAGATTGTGTAAAAAATGAAGAACGACCTGGGTCATAGGAGGAGCAAGATTTGAAGGTGGGAAACTTACTCCAGTAGATTCAGAAACCTGATGTGCCAGGAATGGGAGGGAAAAATCTGACTGTCACTCTAGACTTAGAGGGAGAAGTATGAATGCTGAAAGTGTTCTAGGTTTCTTAGCATTGTTTTCAGTAAAGATCAGCTGCCATAATTCTTTGGGAAATATATATCTGCATACACATACACACACATACTTAATCTCTTTACAGCATAATCCCAGTCCACTCTGCTTTCCTCCCAGTCTGTCCCTCATAACACACCCCTAACCCCCTCTCCTTCTCAGAGAAGGGGAGGCCCCAAGAGGTATCAACCCACCTCAGCACTTTAAGTCACATCCTCTCCCACTGGGGCCTGACAAGGCTGCCCAGCTATGAGGAAGGGATTCAGTGGCAGGCAACAGTCAGAGACAGCTTCTATTCCTATTGTTTGGGGGCCCACATTTTAACCAAGCTGCACATCTGCTATGTATGTATAGGAGGTCAGGTCCAGCTTATACAAGCTCTTTGGTAGCTTCTCTGAGGCCCCATGGACCCAGGTTAGTTTATTCCATAGGTCTTCTTGTGGTGTTCTTGACCCTTAAGGCTCCCTCTGTCCTTCCTTCCACTCTTCCTCAGAACTCCCTGAGCTCAGCCTTTTGTTTGGCTGTGGGTCTCTGTATCAGTTTCCATCAGCTGCTGAATAAAGCCTCTCAGAAGACAGTTATGCTTGGCTCCTGTCCACAGTCATAACAGAGTATCATTAATAGTGACAGTGGCTGGGTCTCATGTTGGGCCAGTCATTGGCTTGCCATTCCCTCAATCTCTACTCCATCTGTATCTTTATGCTTCTTGTAGGCAAGACAAATTTTGAGTCTGAGATTTTATTGCTGTTGTCTCCTTCTCTCTACTGGAAGTCCCACTTGGCTACACGAGATGGCCACGTTAGGCTCCTTGGCACTTCTCCCTCCCCCCCCCCCCCCCCCCCCCCCCCCCCCCCCCCCCCCCCTCCCCCCCCCCCCCCCCCCCCGGCCCGTCCGCTCCCCCCCCCCCCCCCCCCCCCCCCCCCCGCCGCATAGTCCTAGAATTCTCAGCTAGGAGTCATAGACTCTCAGGAGGAGCCTCCCCTGTTTCAGAGACTCTACCCCCATTTCCTTTCTTTCTCCCAGTCCTTCCCTCCCTCACTGCTACCCCTGCTCTCTGCACTCCTGATTCCCACCCTTTTCCAACCCTTCTCCTACCCAGTTCTCTCTCTCTATCCACTTTAGATATCTATTTTAGGAAACAAATATTTTAAGAAGGATAATTATAAATTAGTACCAAACAAAGAAAATCAATTTGAAATGGCTTGGAAGGTTAGTCATTTGTTGACTTGATTGTTTACAATTGTTTGGAGGCTGGAATGCAACACAGCCAATAGCATTTCATAAATACAAATATAGTGGATGTAAAAGTATATAATATTTAATAAACACTTTAAGCTTGTAAATTGATTTGTTAAATGAAACTTTAAAGCTTCTTCTTATTTGTAGAATTAATAAAAGAAAACCTCATGAAATGTCTTAGGCATTGTAAGTGCTAGATACCACATCGTTGTCATTTGCTGGTCATTTTCTTATTTTTTTTCCTTTTCATCTTTTCTCCCAAAAAAAAGATAACATTTGTTAAATGGTGCTTAATATATTAGAATAATAACCAAATAATTTTATCATTTAATTAGAAAATCTAAATGTTAAATTATGTTGCATTTTATTTTTAGAATATTTCATTTATTTCACCCTTTATATGTCCCAGGGGGCATCAAGAAGATAGCCATGCTTTTCAGTAGCAATTTGCTTTGCTTTGCTTACTATCTGATTATCTGTTTAAAACTAAGCTATACCTTTTCTCTTCTTTCCTGAGTCTCATTTTATTCTTGTTTCTGCCATGCTTGCAGTCATTTTCTTACTCTACCTCGCTCCAGATACAGTCAGACCATTGGGCATCATCACAGGGATGGAAGGTATTATTTTCTTACAATTGAGTCTATGTGTAGACGTGCATGCTGTGTCTATGTGATATAATTTCCTTTTAGTTTTGTTTTTATATATATACGTGTGTGGTCATTAATGAATTATAGAAAATTATTTTATTAGGAATTAAGTAAACTTTGCTACCAAAAAGGAGAGAGTAACAGTATTACAGTTGACATCCCCTTTCTTTGCTAACTTCCTAATCAGATATGTAATTACCACTGGTTTATTAGTACATGTTTTCACAGTCTGCTTTCCTATTCAGTGTTTCTCAAGAGGAGACTAATTTGAAGTGCATTGACCTGATCTGTCTGTGGTTACTTGGTCAAAAGTAGCCGATCTGCTCCTTCATAGTAGATAAGCTTGGGTCTATAAGAATGCTCAATCTATGGGAATACCCTCTTTGTTTTCAACCATATTATAGCTTACTTTGAAAAAGGAATTTTCCAATGAATTATGGGTAGACTAAATCTAATACTTAAAAAATATTCAACTTATTTTAGAAGGAAATATTGCTTGCCTTGCATTTAGCAGAATGTGGATATTATTGCAAAGAGAAGGATATAAGGTGTCCATTGTTAAATTCTAAAGGCCATTTGTCCTTTTTGTTATTGATAATATTTTTACTTATTGTTTATTATTTATTTTTCACAATTTCATACATGTATAATGAATTCTGATTATATGGTTTCATCCATCTTCTCCTAAACTCCTTCAACTCTTCCAAATTTCTTCTACTTCCCAATGCATTCTCTTTCTACTTAAAAGTCTTTTTGTGATGTTCATGCGTATGTGCGCCTGTGTGCGTGCGTGCGTGTGTGTGTGTGTTTGTGTGTGGTGGGTGCATGCATGCACATAGGCATGGGTGGGGCTTTTTTATTTGAGTTGGTTCACCTTAACAGGAACAGGGCCTCTCTTCACCCTGTTCCAGAATATTTATTGACCCTCCCTTGGAGGAGGGGATTGTGGTTTTGACCAGTTCACTGTCAACATTTTCAAGCTAGTTAGGCAGAGAAAAGAATCACGGTGACAGCATGGTGATGTGTTCACCTAGAGTAAATAATAAATTCTATGTTATGCTATGTGTAACTTCCTTTATCCCTATTTAATTAGCTAGGAGTTCAAGTGATATGCTGAGTTTAAAAATATATATAAAATATAAAGGGTAAATTTTTAAGTTTGAAATTATAGACAAATGTGGAAGAAAACTCAAAAGACAACTTTGGTAATATATCCTAACAATCCGTTTTGCTAATATCTTTCAATATACATTTATTGAATAGAAATTTGTTATCTTGTAATTTAAGATAACTACTGCTAATTTCAATTTTTTAAGTCCTTTTTATTGTTTTGCTCAGTCATAATTGTTTCTTTGTACATTTCTTTTTACTGTTGTACAATATATTTCTGGAAATTTCTTGTTTTCAATGGTTACAGACTTACCTTACAAGATGTGACAATACCTGTATATCCCTGCATCCTAAACCCTTACTAGGTCTTTCTTTAGGTACTTATCCTCCGTGAATAAAACCTACATGTTAAAGGCTTTTTCTTTGGTTTCTCCTTGTTTTAAGTCAAAATCATGTGGCACCTGCTAGATTTTATATTTTGTATTGTTCTTAGATATAGTTAACAGGTAATTTTTTGCTTACTACTATTTAGTTTTTAAATTTACTAGTGTAGATTCATTTCTTAATTAGCTCTAGATTGACTGTCAATTTCATATACTTTTTAAATTCTAAATTTCTACCTATCTTACTTTAAAAGAGTTTATAAAGTCTCTTTCTGTACTTTCATTTAGTTTGTTGTCAAGAAACAAAAGATTGTTAATATTAAAATATAACACTGTAAAATCTGAATTTGAAAACAAGTTTTTGTCTACAGTCTGTGCTATAAATATATTTACATGTCTATCTTAGATGCAAATACAAAGGTATTTGCCTTTGTCTAAGTAGCTGAGCACACAAAGGCCTTTGTTTCCCTTCTTAGTGTCAGAATTGTGTTTGGTTTGAACTTGTGTACATCTTGTGAATTCTGTTGTACTCACTGTGAGCTCACATCTGCCTAGTCCCATTGTGTCAGGAAGATGCCATTCCCTTGGAATTGTCCATCATCTCTGGCTCTTACAACATTTGTACCTCTATTTTCATATAGATCCCTAAGCCTTGAGAGGAAAGATATGAGAAAAACATACCATTTAGAGATTAGTGTTTCAACACCATTTAGAGATTAGTGTTTCAAATTCAATTACTCTGTGCGCATTGTCAAGTTGTACATTTCTGTACAAAATTAATTACCACCTACTGCAAGAAGCTGCTTCTCTGATAAGGGTTCAGCAATGCCCTGATCTATGGAGTATATTACTGTGTCATTAGAAATCATTTTATTGTTGTGGTACTAGCCGAATAGTAATAGTAGGCTTCCCTCTGGCCCACTCACCTGTCTAGCCTCAGACTCTTCCCAGGTATGGGCTTCATGACGTGGAGTGGGTCATAAGCTCAATAAGGAAGCGGTTGGCTACCCCATGACCTTTGTATCACTTTTGCTCTAGTGTACGAATCTGTGGGTACCTTGATGTTTTGAGTGTCATGATTTGTAGCTGAGTGATATTGATGATTAATTTTCTGCTAGTTATCTTCCAGAACCATGAATGCCACCAATGTATATAAGATAAAAATACATTAAAAGGGCTGGAGAGATGGCTCAGAGGTTAAGAGTACCGACTGCTCTTCCAGAGGACCCAAGTTCAGGTATCAGCACCCACATGGCAGCTCACAAGTGACTGTAACTCCAGTTCCAGGGAGTATGACACCCTCACTTAGACACGCATGGAGTAAAAAACACCAATGTATACAAAATAAAAATAAATTAAAAAAAAAAAGTGTGCACCAGAACCGTGAAGGCTAGCCAGCAGGGATGAATTTCTAGTTGGGCTCCAGTTCAGTTTCTCAATTTTGATGAGTAAGTGGAGTCTATAGCAACAGTCTTACCATCAGGTTATAGAGAGTAACCAGTGAGTTTGTCAACAGGCTGTGCTGTCTGTGGAGTCTGTGGGTCCCTTAGACCAGTGGCTTAACAGGATATAGCCCATTCTGATGGCATATCATTTCTAATTGAGGAATGTTTTCTCCCATCGTATGCCAACTCCGTTTAAATTTCTTTCACATATGTATATGTTTTAAGACACTTCTATAGTAGCAGGTTTCTATATGGCCTCTCCATAAGATTTTTATTGTCGGTTGTCCTTCCTCACGTTCTCTTCTTTACCCTGCCAATCCATACCCTCCATATTTAATCCTCTATTCTAGTTTGTCCTTTAGTTTGTTATAACACTGTATTCTATGTACCCTTCCTTGAAAGATTCTATCCCCACCCTTTGTCCCATGGACATCTAGGCTGTTTCTAATTTCTGGCTATTAAAAATAGAGCTGCAGTGACCATGGATGAACTGGTACCTCTGGACTGGGATGTATAGTCCTTTGGGTATACCTGGATCGTGTGGTAGATCAGTTTTCAGCTTTTAGAAAATTCTCCACACTGATTTCCGTAGTGACCAGAGAAGTTTGCGCTTCTCCTAGTACTAAGTAACTGCTCCCCATTCCCTGCATCTTGGCCAGCATTTGCTGTTATTTCTTTTATTATTCTTGGCTGTTGACTGAGGTGATATGAAATCTCAAAGTAGTTTTAATTTATATTCCCTGATGGCTAAGAAAGTTGAACATTTTTGAGAGTTTTTCTTAGTCATTTACATTTCATCTTTTTACAACTTTGAACCCCATACCTGAGAAGAATCCGAGATTAGATAGGTAAATGGACCCCAGGGAAAAACGTACCACTACTCTTCTCCTAAGTAACATAGCAATAAAACAGTTTCTAATGACACAGTAATATACTCCATAAATCAGTTGTCATAGATCTTATTTTTAAATCTGGGTACTTGTTTTTTTTATATTCTGATTTTTTTATTTTTTGTTTGATTTTAGTTAATTTAAGTATATTCTGAAAAATTATTCTCTATCAGATGTATTATTGGTAAAGACTTTTTAAAAATAAATTTATTTATTTATTGTGATTTATTAATTTTGTATCTCATCTGTAGCCCCTCCCTCATCTCCTCCCAGTCCCACCCACCCTCCCTAGACGTTTTACCATCACTTTGTACAAAAAGCTTTTAGCATCATGAGATTCCAATCATTAAGTTTTGGTTTTTACAACTGTGCTTCTGGAGACATGTTCAAAAAGTACTTTGCTATGTCAGCAAGGTCAAAACTATTCTCTACTTTTTGTTCTGTCAGATTCAGGGTTTCAGCTCTTCACTTGAGGTCCTTGATTCAATTTGAAGTTGAATTTTATGCAGGGTGATAAATATGGTTCTATTTTTTTCTTATTTGCTGCTATCCAGTTTTACTAGCACATTTGTTGAAGATGCCATTTTTTTCCTAGTTTGTATTTTTTACTTCTATGTCAAAAATCAGTCTATAAGTGTGTGGACTTATGTCTGGTTCTTCAGTTTAATTCCTTTGCTTAATTTGTCTATTTTTACATCAATACCATGATGTTTTTATTACTGTTGCTGTAGAATATTGTGTGAAATCTGGGATGTGTTACTTCCAACAATTCTTTTATTACTCAGGATTATTTTATTTATCCTGTGTTTTTTGTGTTTTCATATTAAGTTGAAAATAGTAATGTTTTTAAGTACTGTGAAGAACTGTGTTAGAATTTTGTTCGGTATTTTGTAGTTTTCTTGTGGTAGAACAGCGATCTTGACAGTATTAATTCTACTGGTCCATAAACACAGGAGAGCTTTACATCTGCTGTCTTTTTCCATTTCTTAATTCAATGTCTTCAAGTTTTTATTATCTAAGTTTTTTTCAGTTGCTTGGTTGTAGTAATACCAAGATATCTTCATTGTTGTTGGAACTATTGTGGAATGTACTGGTTTTTAATGATTTTTTTTCTCAGTCTTTCATTTGTTTATCAGGAAGGT